AGTTCTTATGTTTACTAGTTCAATTGTTGAACATCATTCAACATGGATATTTAAAATTCCATTTTATTTTCTACCTGTGCAACGAATAGTTAAACGATTATTTATTTCTAATATTGATACTTTTGATAATTCAATAGAAAGAAGAATTAATAAAAAAAATTCAAGTTCATGTTCAAAAGATTCATTTTATGTTGGTTATGATATAAATCTTAATCGAGATATTTGTGTATGTCCATTAAATCGTATTGGTTCTCGTTGTTTTATTCCATTTAATCCATGTACGAATTGGAGTTGTAATTATCATGGACAATGCTATGCGAATGATGAACGTGCTCATCCAAATTCTCAATTTCGATGTATTTGTGATTTAGAATGGTATGGAAAACGATGTGAAAATAAAAAATTTCGTTTTGATATTTCATTTACTGATTCGAAAATGATTTCATCATCTACTATTGCACTTATTCATTTAATTATTCCATCAACATTTCGTGAAGAAACATATTTAACATCGTTCTATCGTTTCCATGAAGAAATATTAAATTTAACATTTTTCCTTGAATTAACATTCGATAGTTCTGATTCTTCTGGATTAATTTCTTTTATTCAATTATTTAAAGATCTTAATCATGGTAGTTATTATTTATTAAATTTTATTACACAAGTTAATGAATCATTAAGTGAAATGAATGTTATTGTTGATCAAAAGAATAGATGTCGATCAGTTGAAGAATTATTGAATAAAACGATTCTTTCTCAACCCTATTTACGCCGTGTTAAATATTATCAACAAATATGTTTGAAAAAAAAATTGATTGAAAAATTTCAATGTTTTTATGATGAACAATTAATGTGTTTATGTGATAAAACAAATCATGCTTATTGTTTTAATATAAATTCAACGTATAGCGGATGTCCATGGAATAAATGTAGTGAAAGAGGAATTTGTATAAAAGATCATGAATTATGTCCAAAAAATTCATTTTGTCTTTGTAATTCATGTAGTTATGGATCAGTTTGTCAATTCGCAACTGAAGATTATATGCTTTCTCTTGATGCTATTATTGGATCTCATATAAAACCAAAGATTACAAATCTATATTATCAAACAACTACTATTCAAATAACTTTTATAGTTATAATTATTTTAGGTTTTATTGGAATAATCTTAAATATATTATCAATTGGAACATTTAATAATCGAACTACACAAGAAGTTGGTTCTGCATTTTATTTATTAACATCAGCATTTCTTGGTCTTTTTACAATTATTTTATTAATGTGTAAAATGGTTTTATTATTATTTGATAAACAAAATAATTTAAGTTGTTCATTGATTGAATTTTCATTTAAATGGTTTTTAACAAGTTGTGAATGGTTAAATTCGTGTGTTGCCATTGAACGATGTACAGCATTATTATATAAAACTCATTTTTCTCGATCGAAAAGTAAATATATATCGAAATGTTTAATTCCTAGTGTAATTATTTTCGTTGGTATAATATCATTACCAGAAATATTCTTTCGTCGAATGATAATTGATGAAGAAGATAAACGAAATTGGTGTGTTTTTACTCTTAATAATGATAGTCGACCAAAGATTTTTCAATGTTATATTGCATCAAATTTATTTCTATTCTTCGTACCAATAATTATTAATTTAGTAAGTAGTATTATTATTATTCGAGAAACTTTTAAATTAAAACAAAGAGCAAAATGGAATTTTAATAGAAACATTAATCAAGCACATCAATGGAGTATACGATTGATTTTTATTAAAAAACAAATTATGAAACACAAACATATTCTTTTAGGTCCTCTTCTACTTGCTATTCTTTCATTTCCTCGAATTTTATTTCTTTTTACATTTGTATGTAAAAAACTTGATCATCGGCCATTTTTAAGTTTATTTGCTTATTTAATTGGTTTTATTCCTTCAATGACAATTTTATTTCTGTTTATTTTACCTTCAACTGTGTATCGGTTAGCTTTACGTTCGTTGATAAAACGAATTTTTTGCAATCGTATTCTAAACTAATTCTCTTTCTTGTAGAGAAGAGTCTTGCAAGAATAAATTGTTTGCTTCCTTGTGTGTCTGTGCCTTATTGATCGTTTGAAGAATAATGTAAAAATAAAACAAATTATTTTTCTTAAAACTTTATCCGAGATAATCAAGCACGTGGAATTCGAAATCGATTTGAATTATTAAATAATCTACTGAGCATGTATATTGATAAGTGAGACATGTGTAACACAGTACTCTGAATAAATAATTCGTTGATAGTCTCAAAATAATTCTTTTACGAAGGGTTCTATGCAATTTTGACAACATATATGAGGGTATGAGTGACGAAGAATGAGTTTCTACCCACACCCTTGTCATCTCAAATGAAATGTAACTAAACTGTATTTAATATATCAATGCAAAAAATTCTAACTATAGGTTAGAGATACTAGTGAGGGGAAAACAAATGTAAAAGTTCAATCTGCAGTTTTTAGTCGAATTTTGTTTTCATCCATTCGTTAATATTATCAATTGTATTTCGTGCTTCAGGATAGTAAAGATAAAATATTGGATAAACATGCATTAAATGTACAGCTACTTCAAGTGTAACATCAACATTTGCTTGTTTTGCTCTCTTAACAATTTCTCTTGAATCATCTTCTGTTATTTCAGCTGTACCAACATTAACATACATTGGTGGAAATCCTTTGAATGAACCATATAAAGGACTAATGAGTGGGTCTTTATGAGATAAATGAATTTGTTTAGGACCTAGTATTTGTGCGGCTACCCAGGTACTATTATGATCGAAAAGAATTGGATCAATAGGACGATTACGCGTATAACTTTCTCCAGATGATGAAATATCAGCCCAAGGTGATAGAAGAATAACACCATGAGGAACAGGAAGTTCACGAGTAATTAATACTTGCATTGTTTGTAACGTAAGACCACCACCAGCTGAATCACCCATAATCATCATTCGAGATGATGAAATATTTTGATCAAGTAGAGCATGGTAGAGTGCAATTGTATCATCAACAGCAGCTGGATATGGATGTTCTGGAACAAGACGATATTCTACATGAAGAACATTTATATTGAATATACGAGATAAATAACATTCAAAACCACTATACGCTATTAAAAATAAATAATATTTCACATTATTAGAGAATAAAACTTACTATTAATATCACCAGTCATAAAGCCTCCACCATGAATATAAATTAATATTTTATCACTATTCTTAGATGAACTTTTCAGTTGATTAGAAACCCAATATCCATCTGTTGTCTGTGCATTATATTTAAATATTTCTTTTCTAATTTGACATTCAGCTGGTTTCGGACTAATGTTAGTCTGTCCCATAGTCAAACGTAATTCTTTAATTATAACAAGTGGATCTGCTGATGTATCAATTTTTGTTAATGGTTTCATACGAATCAAATCTTCAAATGCTCGATAATCAGCACTTAATGTTGGTCGAGTTTTATCTGGTATAAGAGAATTTTTTAATGAAAACATTGAATGTATTAAACGAACAGCAAGATACGAAGGACTAGTTGAACCATATCGAAGAGGAATAGCAATAGCGACAATCAAAATAATTATAGTCAATTTTTTCAAACAACCGAACAGACCATTTTGAAATAACGTCATTTCGTTTAGTTGTAAGACACGATTTTTTTTTCTTCATATATACATATGTATGTTTTTGTAACCTTCGTCATTACTTATTTGTTGTACAGAACATGTGATGTTTTTTTTCTTTTCTGTTCTGTTCTGTTATTATGTTGACATTATACAAGCCTAAAATATCGTTCTGCAACACATTACCAATATGCCAATATGATGAGAAATAACATGAGAATATATAGAAAAAAAACAAACCATCGCAAAATAGTTTTTACGTAACCAATTAGAATTGTCAATTTATATTAAATAATAAATTATTTTCTCTCTTACATTTGAAATCTTCTAAAGTAACTATTTTTGATAAAGAAAAATGAAGGCTTCTCCATCCCTCGTAAAAGTCAATTTCTGTCAAGAAATCACGATTTAAAAAAAAACGGAAAATGTTTTTTACTTTTTCTCGATTAGAGCGCCATTTTGTAAACGTATTTCCAGTAATCTGAACTTATCAGGATTTTTCTATGCTTGAAAAATAAGATATATATACCATCCTCAAATCATACGAAATTGAGTTGAAAATTTTACGCGATTTCAAAGTACTTGCTCCTAACATCATGTTTTGAGAATAACAATAACTAATATTGTTTTATCTAATCTGATATTTAAAGTGTAGTTTTTTGTTATTTATCTAATGCTTAAATGACAGAGTATAAGTTTCATCATCGTTTTATTTTCATTCGGACTTTTGCAAAGGGATCAACAATTGACCTACTTCAATAAAAATCAATATTATATCATTTCAATTCAATCGAGAAAAAGCAAATGTTAAGGACATAATTCACGTTGTGAATAAAATCAACGAGAACACCATTATATATTGAATGATTTTTCTAGAAATCTTTCGATTATTTTATGTAACACAGATCTGAATCGAATTCTTTTTTTTTCTAAATGATGTTTTAATGAAACTGGAACCAAGTACTTAATTATAACAAAATCAGGGTTTTCTCTAAAAGAATTAATTTTAAAATTTGATATTGTACATAAAATGCGATCTGACTAGATAATATTAGGTATGATTGATTTATTTAGATCTACAGTATACACAGAATACAATAGCTCGATGGTTCTCTTTTGTTAGAAGAAATATCTTGAGAGTGCGGGTGTGGGTGCAGTATCAATCAGAAATCCACACCCTCAAGATCAAAGATACCAAGTAATTAAGTTTATTTAGAGTGATAAAAAAAAGTTATGTTAAAATAATTGAATTAATAAAAAAATTAGTGATGAAGTAGTTAAAGAAATAAGTCATATATATAAAAAACTAACTATGAACTTTTAAATATAATATAAATATTTGTTAGTTAATAATAGCTTTTTCTGATGCACATCGACCAAAATTTTCTGGTGAATACATTTCTTCCGCTTTGGCTGGTGGTACTATAAATGTACCAGCACATGTTGCACGCATAACATAACTCCATTCATATACACCTGGCCATAATAATGATCGAAATGCTTCAGCACGTTCATCTCTTAAGTTTTCATGTTCAGTCCAACCAAGAATTGAATGTGGTTGACATCCAAAATAACAATTATTTCGATTTGATCTTGTTACTGATGATTCTGTATCACCTGTTAATGTACCTTTTAATTGTGTATTTAATGGTTCACAACCAGCTGGTAAATAATCAACTAATGCTATATGATATCGTCGTTGTGTAGTAGTCATTGTTAATATAACCTTGACTTTTTCACCTAACTTCAATTTCCATATACCATCGGATTGTTTTTGAACATGTGAAGGATCATCGACAGCCATGTATGTTCGTTCAATTTTAAAACCATAGTTAACAGCATCTAATTGTAAGCTTGATGGAGCATAATTTAATGCAATACGATAATATAATCGACCACTGCCATCTTTCTGCATGACTAAATTTTTATTCTGATCATCAATTTCTGCATTGGATGATGATGATGACAAAACTACTTTCATTGGAATATTTACTGTATGTGTATCTGTTGTTCGATCTTTAAATTAAGAAATAAGATGATTATATTAAAAATGTTAGTAATAGATATCTTATTATTATGATTATTCGTCTTACCTTTATATTGATGTTGACCACAATAATCATTATCTAACCAAATATTAGCAATAAAATCTGGTGTATCTTTTTCTTTGATAAGAAAATATTTTTCTAATGCAATTAATACGAAACAATTTTCTTGTGTTGATTTCCATGCACCTTTAACTTTATGCGCCTGTAAACCTTTACATAGTTTCGTACAAAGAGTTGAGTCTGGATCAATATATAATAATGCCTCTAATAGAATAGCATCTGTTCGTTGATCTGAATGTAACATAACGGATTGACCATCATCACCATAGGATGTTATAAAATTTGCTGTTTCACTTGTTTCATTTACTTTACCTTTCAAATGTTTATATATTGTTTCAATTAATTGATCTGTCTTATCATTTTTCTCTGTAGATAATGATATTAATAACCATCCCAATGCTTCCAAACTAAGTTTATTCAATCCACTTCGTACAAATAATTCTAATGCTTCATTAGCTACAATTTGAAGATGTTTCGCACGCACATATAATGCATAACTGATCAAACTAAATCGAGTTGTTTCACACCAATGTTTACTATAGGGTAACTTATCAATTTCAGATTCAATATTTGTAAGATAGTTCAATACATTGTCCAGCATATACATGTCAACATTACATATCTTCAAAAAATAATACAAAATGTTTTTAATAAATTTGACATATAGAAAACGATTCTTACCTGTTTTTTTATAACAACAACTAAACAATGTGCAGTATGTACACTTACAAATGGATCAGCATAAGAATCATTTCTATTTGTCCAATAACCAAATCCACCATTAGAGAATTGACGACCTTTCAATGTGTTCATATCTGATTGTAATTTAGTTGTCATTATTGATATATCTGGTAAATCTTTACAATGAAATGCTTGTAAAACATCCCATAATGATTGTATACCTAATAATCTTGAACTTAATTGTTCTGTACATTCATATGGATATGTATAAAGTGAAATAATTGCATCTGTTAATGAAGCTAATGCTGTTGAACTTGTTGATATTGATAATTGACCAAATTGCGGAATAACATTCTCTGGTGTTTTGATTGGTTGGAAAACAACTTCTTCTTCACATATATCACCATATGTTGCAAATGCTTCAGATGTTGCTGGTGTGAAGACAGGTATACTTAATTCAATTGCATCACCAAATGATGTTTGTGATTCATTTACAGCAGTAATGACTATAAATTGAAATCGAGCTGTGCCTGCATGAATTGTCGATATTGGAAATGTAAGTGCAACTCGTTTACTTGGTTCGAGTTGAATTGAATAACCAACTACTTGTTGATTTTCTTCTGATGTTATTAATTTTGCATTAGTTGCTTTTAAACCAGCATGTAATAATATCGATAGATCAGTTTGGTTTCGTAAAACAACTGAAAAATGAGCTGTATCTCCATAATTAAGAAATCTTGGTGGTGAAGGTCGAATCATAATTGGTAATTGAACAGTAAATGACATTTCGCCTAAACCAAATTGTTTATCATTTGTTGCTATGGCCCATACACGATAGCGTGTTAAATTATCAGGTAACTTAAATTCAAATGAAACATGTCCTGATGAATTAGTAATTAATGATGGTACCCAACATGCTAATGGATTAAAATTCGATCGAACAGCTATTTTTTGTTCACTACCACCACAAGTAGCTCCATACGAACCTCCAAATGCAGCACGATCCGTATAACACTCCATATTCATATTGCTCATCATACATGATTCAAAATGCACATGTTCGTCTTGCTTTCGTTGCATATCTTTCTTAAATTGTTCCATATCTTGCATTTTAAATAATAAACAACGATTTCTACCGTGGTATTCCGTAATATTTGCTGGTCGATTCGGATAATATATATCCAATGGACTAGTTAATTTATAATCAGTTAATGATAAAATAGCTTCATCAACAACAATTAGACAAACTTCAGCTTTGTCTACAGGTACTTTATCTGTATATTGCGTAACATTAACATCTATATGAATAATTGATGATGGTGTATACGTTTTATCTGTTTCTTTTGTATTAACTAATATATTTAGTTTATACAAATCTCTTGAGACTTCTAATGATACTGTACCAGTAGCAATTGCTGGGCGATTTGATGAATTAACTATTTCTGTTTCTCTTGAAATAGAACCTGCTAATTCAACACGAACAGTAAATCCTGGTATCCAATCTTTTGATATTTTAAATTCAACAGTTGTTGAATCTTTTTCAGGTTCAATGTGAAATTGTATTGGTTGAGCAATTTGACCTTCACAATCAAATATAACTAAACCATTAGCTGGACTAAATGGTGCTAAGATTAATAATTCACATGTATCATCTGGTTGATAATTTGTTGCATTAGGTATAATTGCCAATGTATCAATTGGAACATATTCTACTTTCTGTTTTTTCATTTCTTTTCCACTACCACCAGCAACATAAAGATTATCATAGAAACTCATAGCTAATCGCCCTTGTTCATCTTTGACAGTATATGATATATTGTATTGACCTCCTAATATAAAAGAAAATTTTAAAACTATTATAAAAAAAAACGAATAAGTAAACTGCATGACAGAGATATATGCATAGAAAGACAGTTGAGATTCAATCTTTTACCTAGTTTTGGTATAAAATCCATATTGATTGCATCTTTATTGGAACTAACATTTGTAAATTGTTGTTCATCTTTTATTTCTTCAAATACTGTTAAACCATTTTCATCTTCTTTTTTTTCTTGACCAATGCCAACTATTTTACATTCAATTGAAATATTATCAATTAAATTTCCATCAATATCTGTAACAATGACTTTTGTTTGTACAGGTTTATCTTTTTTACCATAATTATTTACTAATTGAAATCCAACATAATATATGCATGGATGAATGAGAAATTGTGTTTGAGTTTCCTGTGTTTGATTATTTAAATCAGTAATAGATGCTAGTGCACGAATTATTGTTGGTCTTGGTTCTTTTTCAATACCATGATAAGTAATCTTTATTTCATGTGTACCTTTATTATCTGTTATACCCTAAAGACAAAATAAATATGTGTTTTTGCTAAAATTATACACATGATAAAGTCAATGTAAACTATCATTTTCTTTACTGTTACTTTAGAGAAATTACTTGAAAATGCTTTGTTGGATATATTATTTTATTATCATTACTGTAACCAAACCAGCAAAAGAATGGTTGAGCTCGTCCAAATGTATAATTAGATCTGTTGGCTGGTGTAAATGTTGTTGTTTCAGCATGTATTGCCCATTGAACACTGGCATCATTTAAATAACCACCAGTAAATAATTTTCCTTGACAAGTAGCTATAACGTATGCATCATTATTTGGATGACAATAATGTACTATTGATGGTCGAGTCATTGATGAAACTTCATACTCTGGTCTACGAAACTCTTGAACTGTGAAATGATGTGTTGTTTCACCTTTTGAATCTGGTAAACTGAAGTTTACCCATGCACTACCTGACAATAATAATAATAATAATATCAATATGTACTCAAAATCAATCAACATTTGTATCTAGACAAACAATAAATACACAATCTTACCTAAGTTAGCATTATCAGGTAATGTAAATTTGATATCAAATGCACCATAATTATTTAATTCGACTTTTGATTGTTGAAGTTGTTCACCACGAGGATCATAAACAATATAATCAATGATACCTTGAGCATAAGTTGGTAATTTTGCATCACCTTTTACTTCTAGTAATCGAACATATCCTTTGATATGCACATCTTCCTTTGGTTTATATAGATTTCGATCATTAAATACATGCCAAACGTAAACATTAGGATTTGATACATACGAATAAATATCTGTTAGAATACATAGATCATCATCTTTTTCTACGATTAATATTTCATTTCCTGATTCATTATTTTCAGATTTATAGTTTAAAATACTGCATAATCCTTGTTGATTTGTTTCTTCTTTCTTGTCCCGTATTGAAACAATTGCTTGATTGACAGGTATACCAGTCATTAATTCAGTAATCCATGCAGTTAATCTAACGTCTGTACCTATGATAAAAGAATTTATATATGGACGTACCTCCAATCTTCTCAAATATAATTACCTGAAGAAACAAATAGATCAACTGCTAATCGTGTACATTGTAACCAGGCTGATATAATTTGTTTACGTTCCCAATGATTATGTTGACATTCCTGGCATGCTTTTTCTGTTGGTTCAATAAAGATAATTAATTGGCCTACACCAGAATTTTTTGTTAAATATGATTTTAAAGGAATTTTCATCTCTTTTGGTTCATCACGTTCACAATTGGTTTGTATAACTTCATTTAACAATTCTTCTCCAGGTAATTGATGATACGATTCTTCTTCTCCATATCTGTAAAAGAATTGCTCAAAACAAGGTAAATTTAGATTATAATGTTCTGGTTTGACTCGATTAATACGCAATGTTATTTCAGAATAATTATAAATCATAAATGGATAAAATGGTTCATCCAATACACCAGGATCCATTATAATCATACCTATAAAAAAAATTCTCTTTTTATTTATAATCAATGTCTTTTCATTTTTTATGTACCTGTAGCACCCGAAATATCTCCAAATAATGTTGGTGAATCATGTACATGAAACTGAATCGGTTGTTCAGAATGATCATGTTCTAATGTTTGACCATGAATATCTTTCAATAATTCTGATTGTATAACTAGTGTATAAATAGTATTTGGTTTAGAATTATTATGTATTGTTATTTGTCGATCATTGTATTCGACATGTTCAATACCTAATCCACTAACGTCTGGTTCGATTTTAAATAATGATTTATTAATAATCGAATGATCTAATGAACTATTGAATGTTACAGACCAACTATGGTCAGGACTACAGGATGCTTGGTATTCATTTTTTTTATTTGGGTACCAATCAATAATTTTTAGAGGTTCATAAGTCTGAAAATTAGCTGACCACTCTGATGTTGTTACTAATGGACCTTCAGCTGATGGACAACCTGCAGGCAATTGAATTGTATATTGTGTTGCTTTTAATAAATCATTTTTAAATGTAAATGCAACATATTTCTCATCATTTCCTTCAATACCATCTATGTATAATTTAAATTCCTTTTTTGCTGTAACTTCATCTATTAGTTCTACTTCGTTATTTGTTATTTCATTTTTATCACTGCTCATTACACGTAAATGCTGTAAAATTGTATTCCCGTCAATTTTTTGATCAAATAATAGAAAACAGATCGGTTTCAGTGTTGAAACTATTTCATCTGGTAAGAATTGAAGGACATTTGGTGTTGTTGTTGAAAATTCAAACAATAATTCATCTTCTAATTTTCCTAAAAATAATCAGAATATTAAAGAAAAATGAAACTTCTCGGTTCTTCAGACAGATTTACCTCCAATTGCTGATACACAATGTTGTTTGTCAACTTTTAATATATATTTTGTTGAAAATGGTAGACGATGTTTTGGTTCGAACTGAACTGTTTTCGTTCCTGACCATCTCCATCGACCTTCTATCGCAGGTGCTAATGATATACCAAGATCTTCGATATTTATTTGATCATCTAATGATGAAACAGCAATCATAGGTTGGCTAAATGTTATGGTAACAGTTGCCAATTGATAATTGATTTGTGTTTCACTTGGAGAATATCTTTCAATGATCAGTGGGCCTACTTCTTGTTTTGCTAATTGCTTCAATTGTTCGATGTCAAGATCAAGATCTTGTTTACGATCTTCTGAATGTGGTGGAAATGGTGCTTGTATTATTTTACTTGTTTTTGGTGCTTCAATTGTTTCTTCACGTTTAAAAAATTCTTGATCATCCATCGAATCTGCAACCAATTCAGAACTAGCTCGAGTGAATAACTGTTGTAATTGATCTGCAGTTAAGTTCTGTTGATGCTGTTGTGAATCATCATCGTTTAATGATGTCTTTTCAGCATCAATTGTAATTTGTTCATCAGTTTCATTTGTTTCAGTAATATTAAATTGAAACTCATGAGGTTCAGATTGTTCATTGTTAACCGTCTGATCCGGAATTAGTTGTCGTATTCTCATTGTAATATCACAATGTTAGAATGAAAAGATAGTAGAACTATAATTTTATCTACAAAGAATATATTTTTAAATTTAATGAAATGAAATCATGGTAATAATCGTTAGTATGATCGAAGCATATCATAATATCAAGTGTTACCTGATAGAAATATTGCCTACGAATTGAGTTCGACAAACCAATTCAACGAGTAATGTATCAAGTAATAAAATATGTTTAAAAACATTCTTGTTATTTTTCAGTAGTGTCGTTGAAAATATTGTGCAATGAAGCGATTTTTTCTTGTTAATATGAGGCTACACGCATGGACTAATGATTGCAAAAATGATAATTGCATAAAAACAAATATAAAATATATACTACTTATTTTTTATGTGGTTTTTTAACAAGCTTTTGCGTTCTGTGTACGTTATTTTTGTGTTCTGTCTTTGTAACTATACATATTTCGTATATACTTTGCTCTAAAGATTTCTAATATACAAGTAAGGAAAAGAAGATAAAAAGAAATAAATCAAAGAGTTTTTAAGACAAAAAAAAAGTATGTAACAAATGTCACTGAAGATCGGAATTTACAGTGATGTAAACATTCTCATTATAATTCTTGTAGAAACATGCTTTGTTCTTGATCGAACATATACTTAAAATTATGTAAGTTTTTTCAAACTGATTGATTTTACTAGCGAGTAATTGATCTATGAAGTACTATGAAAAAAACAAGTGAAGTTGCTCTTTCAAGGAAAATGAATTGCAGAAACAGTTACTCTTACCATACCGTTTTATTCGAAGAGAAGCAAAATAAGCATGCTTTGTGATATTTTTCATTAATTATACATTGTAATTTTTTAACTATTTTTTGAAAAATCCACTTGAAATAAGCTAAGATATTTTCAAACTGTTATTATTTAGCTGAGGAAACTTGAATTCTACGCAGATGCTTGATTGTCTATAAAAAGTATTTTCAAAAAAGTCAAAAAGTCAGCAATAACTTTCAGGACATTTTAAAATCAATGTTGTTTCTTCGCAGATTACCAAAACAAAGATTGCCATATATTTGCTGCCCTGTGTTGGTATATAAATTAGTCGATAATGTTAGACATTCATTATATCATCTATAACAGCTATAGAAAGTTGAACAATTCTTTTTAAGTATTACGTGAATTAATTGTGTATAAACTTGCAAATAGTTTTTTTTCGATGAATGGCTGATTTGTGAAATTAATCGTCATTCTAATTCATTTAATTGGGATATTATTTAAATGTGTTATTCTCAAACAATTGGAAATTCATCAGTGAATTCATATAGGCATTCCTATAATATTCCTCAACAGACTCTATAGCTTATTTTCTGGTTTACAATGTAACTTTGAGAAACTTAATTATATAGTTAGTAGATTGAAGGAATAACAAGTTATAAGTACTTACTATTTTTTTAAGAATTATTAGCGTTAGTTTCTTCAAAATAACAGAACTGTACTCTGATATAGCTATATGAATAACTGATAGACTTGATATTTTTAAAACATAAATTTCACGAAGAACAACACATTCTGCTTTTATTTTAAAACTGCGATGATGTGTGTTTGAATAACTGCAGAAATGAGAAATAAATATCCTCAAGAATTATTAGCTAAATAAAGACATTACATCTCTTTTATCATTATATGTTATTTTGTATCTTATCGAGTGAGGATGTCATGCATTTATCAACACATCAGACTAATCCCCATATCTGCGAAACATCTGAGCTATACCCTAGGAATCGTTATATAATACTTATTTTAATCTTAGATCGAAGTAAATTCTATAAAACTCTTCAATTTGAAATCAGTTCAGCTGGATGATCTACTTAGTATGTACGCCGACATCTACACGCAAATCCATATTTCTACGTTCCGTGTTGTTGTTGTTATTGTATCCATATACTATATATTTCTCTCAATGCTTTTTATTGTGCTCTATTATGATATTTATTTAATTTCATGATATTACAATATGTGCGTACTAGAACGTAAGAATCAATATTTTTTATCAAAAACATTTAGTTTGTTTTTTACAATTAATTTTAGATGTTTTCGACACTGTCAAACACATCAAAGAAAAGATATTGTTAATGAGTGTGAATTTCATATTTTTGTTGTATTGCATGAAAGAGAAATGATATGCAATAGTAGTTGATGTTTGATATATTGTATGACGAATAACAAAGCGTTATCTATTTCTTTCCAAATATTTCTCTATCACATGTTCATGTTAGGTATTGTCATATGAGGATAGTAATGAATTGTTTTTGTCTAATGAAAACAGTTTTCTTCATTACTTTACTTGACTATATATACCCACATCTATTCTCATAGTTTCACAAACCAGTTTTCATCGTATTTCAGTCTTACCCAGGACATTCGATCTGACTTGTGGACCGTACGGGGACACATCGGATCCGACACCAGATTACTCCGGAATCCGACGCACTCCTTTGAAGACCGATCGGAACCGACCCAGTTTATGTCGGATTCTCATGTACAGGATTCCGGACCGGATTACACCAGAAAAGATCTGATCGGATCTTGTCGTAACTGACAATCGGATCCGACCATGTCCTGACATAACCATCTTCTGAAAACCTCCGGATGATCCCAGACTCTAAACCGGATAACATCGGACTTCAACAGATTTCTTCAAATTTTTTGAATTCACTCCAAGTCGGATCTTGCCGGAAAAAAATCCTTCATCATAATCTAAAATCCGACAATCGGATTGTAACGGATCTACACCGGAAATCATCAACCAAAATAATTACTTCCAAATACCCATTATTCCTTTACAATCTGACAATCCGATTACATCGGATCAACACCGGACATCACCACCTAAAACAATTCCTTTGGAATCCGCATAATTCGGCTATAGTCCGGTACGGAAATCATCGGACACTACACCACCGATATTCGATGCCCAGAGCCGATCGGTTTCACCAAAATCTGGGAAGATCCCATCAAAACCGTCTGTGAACCGGACAAATCCGGCATTTTTCGGCGCAAAATCCGTCGGCCGGATTAACCGAATTAACACAAATTTCAATCTTACCTTATATCGGAAGATATTAGACCCGACCGAATCCGACCAAATCCCGTAAATGCTACTACTATCAAGCAACTAATAATCCGTCGCTCTGCGTGAGTTGGGGTAACTGATTCACCGTTCCTCTACACTCACATCCTCATCCACACCTAAGATGCTCACTTTGACCAATGTGAGACTTCAAAATCTCCAAACAAACACTTTCTTAGTAAAATAAATCTCAAGATATCGTTACTCTCTCGTTCTTAAAAGCAATTTTAGATTAGAATCAAACCATCGACGCCATACTGAAAATTGACCAAATCTGAATGCAGGAATCCCACTTTGAAAATCAAATAGCGTTACAAACTCCACAAGAACGAGGATAGCCAGTAAAGATCGCTATATATGATTTCCATCTCATTCCCAGACAAATATTACATTGAGGTAGACAATGCGATGTAGAAAGACAGAGTGAGCATAACAAGTTCCCTTTGAAACAGGCTAGTGCGCCAAAGTTCGATAAGCATTTTTGAGACAAAAAACGGTCGGTGAGTACGGTAATTATATCACTCAAAGCGAAACATTAGGTTGAAACGGAAAAGACCATGTGTACGAAGTGAGTGAGCAATAGTGAGCACCGGGTGCTCACTTTCAAAATTCGGTAATGCAACAATGTTTGATAAGCATTTTCGAGACAAAAATGATCGCCGAGTATGATTCTTATATCACTGAAAGCAAAATATTAGGTTGCAATAGTGAAGAGCATGTGTCGCAAGTGAGTGAGCAATAGTGAGCACCGGATGCTCACTTCCGAAATAGAGTAATGGGACAAACTTCTATGAGTATTTCCGAGACAAAAACAATCGCCGAGTATGATTATCATATTACTCAAAGCGAAACATTTGATTGAAACAGTGAAGAGCATGTGTCCAAAGTGACAGAGCAATAGTGAGCAGAGGATGCTCACTTTCGAAATCGGGTAATGGAACAAAGTTTAATGAGCATTTTCGAGACAAAAACGATCGCCGAGTATGATTCTTATATCACTGAAAGCAAAATATTAGATTGAAATGGGGAAGAGCATGTGTAGGAATCAAGTGAGCAATAGTGTGCACAGGATGCTCACAATGATTATGAAACTTTAAAACACTTAAGTTGGAATGAACAAAGCATAAAAATCGTCTCGATATTATGCTTTCATGATTTCGAGTAGTGAGATATTTTTTTGAGTTCGTCCAATCGCACAAATGTGAAAATGAGCATCGATGCTCACAATGATTTTCTAACTCTGCAAAATTTAAGTTGAAAAAACAAAGCACACAAATCGTATCGATATTTTGCTTTGATGATTTTCCACCAGTGAAATATTCTTTGTTTAGTCCATTCCTATAAATGTGAGAATGAGCATCGATGCTCACAATGATTTTCGAACTCTGAAAAATTTAAGTTTAAAAAAGAAATCATAAAAATCGTATCGAGTGATGATTTTTGTGAGCA